AGAGGAAACGGACCAGACAGCAGATCAGAGCCAAACATGAAAACACACTGATGTGATTTCTGCATCACTAATAATTAATCAGAGTTGGTAAATTAGCTCAACACATGTAAAACACATCACACATTACACAACCTATGAAGAAATAAGTGAAATTGGAGATGACACTGATATTGTTGAGATATTTCCATGATATGTTGCAAATAAAGTCCATGAACCCAGGAGACCTGAGGTGATTTACCATGGAAGGACCCCAAATGAGACACAGGGTTATATACACATGGAACTAATGGAGAGACAAGACAGAGCTGAAACAATGAAAAGAAGAGGGAGACACACAGCATTCTGGAGAATCTGAGTAAATGTCAGGTATTAAACTACATCCAGGGAATCACCAAGCCCGCCATCCGCCGTCTGGCTCGCCGCGGCGGAGTCAAGCGTATCTCGGGTCTGATCTACGAGGAGACCCGCGGTGTGCTCAAGGTCTTCCTGGAGAACGTCATCCGTGACGCCGTCACCTACACCGAGCACGCCAAGAGGAAGACGGTGACCGCCATGGATGTGGTGTACGCTCTGAAGAGGCAGGGCCGCACTCTGTACGGCTTCGGAGGCTGAAGTCAGCGCCCACCCAGCAAACAAAGGCCCTTTTCAGGGCCACACACCTCCTCTGATCAAGAGGAGAAAACGTACATGTGGCCGCAGCAGCAACGCGGCTCAGCGACCTGCCTCTCCAAGGTTCCCATGGTATTCATAAGATTAAAAAGAACTTTTTAATTTAATACTATATTAAACTTTATTTATTCATAAGTGAAGCGGTTTCATCCTGACACTCATCAGCACCAAAGGTTTTTTTAAGAGCCACCACAGCCTCCATTAAAGAGCTGCCAGCTGCGGCCTCACTCACCGCTGCACCGACACACAGCACAACGTGCAGCAGTTTGGAACTATGACACATGTATTGTTGACAGTGTTATCATTTTACTTTGCTGTGAAGTCTCTCTCTGCTACTGTTCATTGCTCAATCATTTCTTTCTGCTGCAGGATTTTCTCCACAGCACCTTCATCTCTCTAGCTGACTATCAGACCCTCACAGCTACATGTGCGGTTGAGTGGCAGCTGTGGAAAGTCAACGCTCTGCTATTCACTGAAGCACAAGCAGGTCCGTTTCAGATGCATTGTATATAAAAAATGAGAACACAGAAATATGCAAATGCATTACATACAAACGTAAGATATGATCCACACAAATCCAGTCCAGAAGTAAAGACTTAACATGTCGATTATTTTGACATTAATCTTATGTTCAGCTCAGCTCAATTCATGAACGTATGAAGTACAGTAGATACTGATAACGTGTTCAGAACCCACTAATGACAGAAATAAATCTACAGTGGTCCCTGAGGTTGCAGCTCTTAATTGACAGTGAAGTGGCTCTTAAAAGAGCCGTTGTTGATGATGGAGCAGTAGACTGTTTATGCTCTCTCTCCGCGGATGCGGCGGGCCAGCTGGATGTCTTTGGGCATGAT